ATCAGGCGAACCTGATAAAACGCCCCCCTGGTCACGGCCGACAAATGGTCATCCAGTGCCAGCCGCGAATCCAGGAGGACTCCCAAGTTGCGCGCCCTCTCCGAGGGGGCCAAAGTTTCGCCCCCTATAGTCAGCGATGGTGCCAGCTGACTATGCCGAGGCGCTGGCAACCACAGCCACTCGGTCTTGGAAGGGTTGAGCCTGAGTCTGTTCCTCCCCATCCAGACCCGTACGGCCTCCAGGCAACGGGCCATCACGTCAAGGGCAACGTTGGGGTGGTCTGGGGTGGAAATGTACAGCTCTAGCCTTGCCTCTGCATCCCAGCCCCTCTTTTCAGTGTGAACCCTGGCCAAAATGGCTGCCCACTGATACTTTAGAGCCACAAAGAAATCCAATGGAAGTGACAATGGGAAGCTGCTTCGGCAACCTTAGTATAATAAGAAAAAAAAATCTAATCCCCGCAATCAGTGGAGGGAACAACAAGAACAAGCTCCACAATTTCAAACTCCAGCACTGCTATCACAGTTAAAATCCTAACCCTCTGATGAGGAACACAAACTCTGGTGAACTGCTAAGCCAAAATGAAAGAGCACTCAATGAGGACTACATTTGATAATATCTACGCATGCTCCTAACATACAAGCATTTTGTACTATACATTAAAATAGAGAAGTGTAATTTTCCTGCAAAAGAAGGTAAATATAAGTGATCCAGGATAATGTTGCAGGATCTAATTTGAGCCAGTCACTGGGACCAAAGGTTTATTCTTCCAAACTTTTGGTGTGGAGAGCTGGCTATTAAGTCATTGGTTGTTGTTTCCTTGTGCTGCTGCGCCCTCAACTCCTAAGTACCTGATAGGCTAGTGCAGTGATGGCAAACCTTTTAGAGACCGAGTGCCCCAAAACCACCCCTGCCCCGCCTCCCGCCCTGCCTGCTCCACCCCCGCCCACCCCCTGCCCCACCCACTCGCAGGGCTACTCACCACATCCGTGGCCCGCTGCAGATTGCCCAAGCAGCCCTGCAGCGCCATGGCAGCCACGCCCTCCACCCACACCCCTCAGCATTATCTGCACGCTATGGGGTGCGAGGGCAGAGTCTTGTCCCTGTTGCCCGGCTATGTACTTGGCTGTGCTGCTCCGTGCGGGCCATGCCCGGGAGCGACTCTGCTCCAGGGGGACTGCTGGTGAGGAGGGGGCCGTGGGGGAAGGCAGGGGTGGGGCAATGGCGCGTGTGCCCACAAAGAGGGCTCCGAGTGCCACCTCTGGCACGCGTGCCATAGGTTTGCCACCACTGGGCTAGTGGTAAATCAGCCCTCTTATTAACTGATAAGGGGCCCATTTCCCAGGCTTCAATCATTTCTCTGGCTGTTTTTATTCCTGCTTGGCCAACAATCATAGTAGCTGCAAAACTGAATGCATGTCCTTATGCATTGTAATGTAGGTTACCAATGAGTTCGGGTCTCCTTGTCTAACCACTCGCTCATGAGCTATCAACACTCTAATTAACAACTAAAAGCTACTAAAGGCAGGATGCAGGTGGTATGACAATGGTGCAATTACATCAATAGACAGGATACCATAACATTTTTCAGCCTTTGAGGTTGCGGATCTGAGCCAAATTGATTCCACTGGCAGTCTAATATATCTCTTTTAAAGTTTCCTGAACAACCAGAAAAATAAAAATAGTAGAAACAAGACTGCCAACAATAGATACTTTGAAGCTGATGCTTGACAGTATGTTCATAGTGGGCACACACTACGATTCAGATGCTTTTCATTTTCTATAGGCATTTAGCTCAGGGGCAGAACAGAAGATGCTTCCCCACTGTCAGAAAACAATGTAATTCAAGATGTTCCTGCTCTGTTTTTTGCTCTCAGTGTCATGGCAACCAATTCCTATCTGACCATACAAGTTCTCAAGACAGTTTTCCTCTTGCACACTAAAAACTTAGAATATACAAACACCACACATTGTGCAAAACTCAGGGGAGGTGGGGGTTTTTTGGTTTACGAAACACCATCTTAAAATAAAGCTCCAGGGAGGTGGGTTTTTTTCGGTTAACGAAACACCATCTTAAAATAAAGTGCAATATAACATCTGGCATTAGCCCAGGGACTTGTCATGGTCATAACAAAGAGACCTTGAATTAGAGAAGCTTTCCCAGCTATGCAATGGGCTCTGCTATGGAGAGTCTCCCTGGGTTGAAGTTCACTGTCAGCAAATGCATACAATTCTGTATGCAAAACAAACAATGGAGAACGAAGGTCCATTGGAGAACAGACACAGCAGGAATAAGAGGGAAAGCAGCAAGAAGAGAGGAGTACTATGTTGGCCATTTTCCCTACAAATGAACCTCAGGTTTGGTGAGGTGGAAAGTCTTTGGTGACTTTGATAGAATTTTGTGCATTCATGAAAATTCCCTCATTCTTCACTGTACCCCACCAGAAGAGGGACATTGCCCCCAACTCTAAAACATAACCTTCTATACTCCATCCTAGGTTAGCTAAATCCTTCATATATTTGTAAGGGTAGTTGGATCAATTCAAGTTCAAGCTTGATTCACGTCCAAGCCCAAGACAGATGATATTGTGTTGTGTTTACAAAGGTTCCTAAGCATCGCCAAAGCTCCAGGGCTACTTTATATTAGATGTATACAATAAATATTTCTAATGGTGTCAAGGAAGGAAATGAGTCAATATCAGATGAGCAAATATATATATATGTGTATATATCCTGGAAGACTCCACCCCTATACAAGGGATTACAGGGTCGTAAAAAGAATATATATTATTTTTATATATTCACCCACTGCTTCTGCTTTAAAATTGCTCACCCCATTACCTATGTAGACCAGAAGAAAGGAATCTGTATATGGTACAAGTAGTCCTTGACTTACAACCATTTGTTTAATGACTGTTCAAAGTTACAACAGCACTGAAAAAAATGATTAGGACAGATTTTCACACTTATGACTGTTGCAGCATCCCCATGGTCACATGATCAGAATTTGGATGCTTGGCAACCGGTTCATATTTATGACGGTTGCTGTGTCCTGGAGTCATGTGAGCATTTTTTCTGACCTTCTGACAAGCAAAGTCAATGGGGAAGCCGGATTGATTTTACAACTGCGTTATTAACTTAACTGCAGTGATTCACTTAACTGCAGTGATTCACCTGTCAAGAAAGGTCATAAAATGGGGCAAAACTCAATAACTGTCTCATTTAGCAACAGTTTGGGCTCACTTGTGGTTGAAAGTCAAGGACTATACTAAAATCCAATTCGGTCTTAAAGACGTGAGATTATATTAAGCCAAAATGCAATCATATGAACTTAACATCGCTTTTAACCTTGCATGATATATGAAACCATGTGCAATAAACCATAGTTAAGCAAAATGTCTTATCACATTATTGAACGCAGCAATAGTTACTCTGAATTCCTAGTGATTTGTCTGTTGAGAAATTCAAAGGCCTGCAACTATTAAATTCAACCCATCCTGATCTGTATAAGCATCTTTACCCCTATGAATTGCTTTGTGCAACAAACTCCAGCCTTTCTTGTCCACCATATCCACATCTGCTTTGTGATTCACCAAGGTAGTTGCAATGCTTTCCAGCCTTCGACAAAGTGCTAAGTCTAAAGCAAGGTCTCCATTACGATCCAGTGCATTTAACTTTCCAGGCAGCTGCAGGAACAAAAACAGTGGACAGATATCAGCCAGTGTAATAATACCAGGAACAGAAGCAGTTACCAGTATTTTAAACCAGGATTCAAATATGTTTCCAAAGGAATAAATAAAGGGAAATCAACAAATGAAGGGAAACCAAAAGGGCAAATACACTTTTAGATGGGAGAAGCCACAGCTTAACAAGGAAACATATTCCATTTGGCAGAAGATCTACGATTCAGCTAGAGTTCAGAATCAATGACAATCAGAAGGAAGGAGAAACTGGCTACATAAATCAATGGCCTCAATATATAGAACAGCTTTATATAGAGCAATGATGGCACAGTGGTTAGAATGCAGTATTGCAGTCTAGTTCTGCTAACTGCCAGCTGCCGGCAGTTCGAGTCTCACCGGCTCAAGGTTGACTTAGCCTTCCATCTGTCCGAGGTCGATAAAATGAGGCCCCAGATTGTTGGGGGAAATATGCTGACTCTATAAACTGCTTAGGGAGGGCTGTGAAGCACTGTGATGTGGTATATAAGTCTAAGTGCTATTGCTATTGCTAAAAGTTCAATTTGATCAGTGTTTGCCAACCTTAGCCATTTTAAGATGTGTGGACTTCAACTCTCAGAATACCCCAGTCAGCATTGAAATCTGCACATCTTAAAATGGTTAAGGAAACACTGAATTCGATTCATTACAAATAAACAAAGCAAAAACTATTAATTTTTATCCTTTAGTTTCTTCACTTTTTTATTAGTATCAGTTGCTAGCAATTGTTCCCTTTTTAAAAAAAATACAGAGTGCATGTGTGCTAGAAATAATCCAAAATTTCATGTCTTATAGATTGTGGAGGCAAGAGCCTCTCATCCTCATCCAGGCTATCTGAGGAACCATCTCATCCCAGTCATCCACCGCAAAAGAGGTATGCTGCAGATTCCATCAGTCAACGAAGTCTGACTGATGGGATCCAGAAGAACCTCTTTTGTCATGGCTACCGCCATTTGGAACATCATGCCGCTAGTGGAAAGATCCACAACCACCCTTTTGGCCTTCTGAAAGGCCTTGAAAACCTGACTCTGCCAATTAACCTGGGGCCCCAATGGGAACGTGACATACTGGAAGTGGTTAATGCACCAAGATCCCACCTCCTTCCTGTGTGCATCTTGCTACTTTCCTTGCCATCTTTGTTAAGCCAATTTTAACATTAATATTTATTGTTTTAATGTTTTACCATGTTGCTTTTATTTAGTTGTAAGCCATCTAGACTCACCTCTAGGCGAGATGGGCAGCATATAGATTAATTAAATAATAAATGAATCCTACCTGTGAATCCATTTCAATAAGGTATAGGAAAACAACATCTTCTCTCTCCACTTTAATAGCTTTGTGCAAAGGGAAATCCGTTTTAGATTTGATCATTTTGTACAAGAGCTGAGCACTCATGCTACTGAAGTCTTCTTTCTTCAAATCATCCTGCAAAGCATTAGGGAAAAAAAAGATACAATTTTATTTCGATGTCAATAAAACATTAGCCTAGTCTTCCAAATCATCCTATAAATGAGAATGGCCACTGAACAATTTTGACCGGGAATTCAGAGTTGAACTGCCAATGTATTTGGAAGGCACAAGATTTTTTTAAAGCAGAGGTCTGATTAATAGTTTAGTGAGAATTACTAGAAGAAATAATTCTAAGCATCTGTTCATCTCAGAAAATGGAAATATCTATCATTTTAAGAAACATGTCTCAACCTAGAAGCAGATGGATGAGGATATCCAGTTTTCTCAATTTTACAAATGACATCAGGTTAGATCAACCTATAAACTCAAAAAGAATGAGATCCAAGGAATTATATCGTGCTTTCAAGACAAAATACAATGGCAGTATCAACACTGCAATAATCTTGGCTAAAGCCATTTTTTTTCATTTTTGGCTGCCACAGTACTGGGAGGGGGGATGAGTGGTTTTAAGGTTAGACTAAACAATAAATTGTCCCGTGGGAACCAAGGTCATTGCTGCCTGACTTTTGGCGGGCTGAGCCTTCCATTAGAAAGTCAGCCAACTTTGTAACATTGTAACGCTTGGGAGGGAACTCCAGGCTTGGTTTCACTTTTGACTGTGCCGATACTTTGTAGCCAATAAATATGTTCTTTAAGGAAACATCTTGCCTTGGAATTCTGCTTTTACTGGTCTCATCTATTGGAACCATGACAGGCAGAGGGATATCTCTAAGTTTATATGGCATTGGGAAAAAACAAGAATTAGATATAAATTATTGCAAGATGCTAAGAAAAGTGGGGGCTTGGGCTTACCCGATTTGAAACTGTATTTTGGTGCTTGTTGTTTGGTTTGGTTAAAAGAATGGTGAACTTTCAAAATAAGAGGCTACTGGATATAGAAGGCCATAAATCAAGATTTGGTTGGCATGGTTACCATTTTACTAAAAGTGCCATTTTGAGAGTGTGGAATAAATATAAAACAAGGTTCTCTATGAAGGTGCCACTTTGGGTTTCCCCACAAGAAGCCTTTTTTAGAAAAGAGATGGTGATGAGACCAAATTGGTGGACCTATGGTAAAATAATATCTCTTAATTTGGGTGAGCCTACCCTCAAATTCAAGAAGGAGGTAGAATCAGAAGGTCATGTTTGCCACTGATTTACATATATGCAATTGAAAGAAAGATTTTAATTGGATAAAAATCATGGGTTTAATTTTGTTAAAAATTAACTGGAAACCCTACTCTGCGGTAGTGATGAACATATTATTGCTAAAGTTTATAAAATGCTATTGAATTTAAATCTGGAAAATGAACAAGTAAAACATTGTATGATTCAGTGGGCAAGGAATTTTGGGTACAGTATAATGCTTGAACAATGGGAAACTATGTGGAAGAAAGGATTAAAATTTACATTAAATTATAATTTAAAAGAAAATTGTTACAAGATGATGTACTGTTGATGTTTAACACCAGACAAGTTATCAAAAATGTATAAAGGTATTTCAAATGAATGTTGGAAATGTAAAGGTAAAGAAGGGGCTTTTTACTATTTATGGTGGACGTGAGATAAAGCAAGAAAATATCGGAGTAGGATTCAAATGTTAATACAGAAAATTCTTAAAGTGAATATAAAAGAAAACCAGAGACTTTTCTCTTGGGGCTAATGGACAAAGACCTGGGGAAAAAATATGGAACCTTTGATGTTATATATGTTGACAGCAGCAAGATTACTCTATGCTCAGAAATGGAGGACTACATTGATTCCCACAACGGAGGAATGGTTACAAAAGCTGATGGAGCTGGCAGAGATGGCTAAACTGACTGTACTGATTAAAGAAAAGAATATGAACACTTTTATTGCCACGTGGAAACCGCTTCTAGACTTTGTGCTTGAGGTGGAAAAAAAATGAAATTTTGATGTTGGGTTTTACCAATTAGATGGACTTGATGTTATTGAAATGGCTAGCTTATATTATTTTGTAAAAGTAAAAAGTTGAGGTTTGATGTTGATACTTTACTTTGCTTCACCAAAGCAAGTCGGAAGTCAATGCCTTCTTTTTTCTTTTTTCTCTTCCCTACCTCACTTCTCTATTCCCTTTTCCCTTCCCCATCTTTTCCGCTATTTATTTTTGTATTTTCATATCGTATACTATAAACTAATAAAACTTTATACAAAAAAAAGACAAAATACCCAACATGACAAAGTAATGGCATTAATTAAGGAACTCCGGAGTCACAATATGTGCTGTGGTGTAAGAAGACTACGAAGACTGTCTTACATACTAGCCATTTTCAATTAGAAATCTTGAAGACTAGCTATAAAAGTACTGTACTTTAATTTCTCCACATTAGAACCAGAGCTTGCAGGGGGGGAAAAGAATGTCTAAAATTTCTTGCTTTGAAAGGAAGAAAACCCCTCCCTTGATTCACTAAAACTTTTTTCCTAAAGAAAACGAGTGTTGTAGTTTTGTACACAACAGTTTCCCTAGGGCTTGGATCATAGTTCTAAGAACATCTGCCCATATTTCATCATCCCAAACTACTAGCATATTTATCTGAAGACAGCGTGCAGGCTGATGTTCTTTAATGAGGCATTTTCTCCCATGCCACAAAACGTTTTCACAGAAGAAAACAGTTTTGAACTAAGCTGAAATTCAGTAATGACAGACCAGAACTTCATGTTTTCAATGCAAACAGCACTTTTGTTGCTAATGCTATGACTCCTATTTTAAGTAGCCAGTTACCACTGGTATGAGGAAAAAACTGCTGGTCCTTCGTGTAAAAATAAAACTTCTCAGGATGTGAAAAGCTAGGACATCATAGAAGAAGTTAAGCTGAACAATCTCTCTCTCTAACATGCTGGCTTGTTCCATACAAGGATGTTCTCTCTTTTTGTTTTTATCCACAAGAGCATTCACAGTAAGATCTTTGTTCTGGGATACAGAATAGACTATTGGCACAAAGTAAGGTTCACAAATAATAAGTTGTGTGACAACAATTAAACATACAATTAAACATCTTAGCATAATTTCAAAGTTTACACAGAACTTGCATAGAACATGGATAACAGCTACACTAATAATTAAAAGTAAAAATAAGGATGTAAATCCTCAAATATCTTTTTGAAGAGATCGCTTAATGCTTACCCAATGATTAGCAATTATCTCAGCACAGTAGTTCATTAAAGTGCTGGCATTCAGCTCTTCTGCTGTTTGATAGAAGCGGATACAATTCCTTACATTTACAAGTGACATGACTCCTTTTTCACACCTATCAAGACAGCAAATACAAGAGGATCAGCAAGAACTAGTCCCAGAAAAAAAAAGTAAACAGAAAGGACATCATGGTATGGAACCAGCAGGAAGAACAACTTCATATTGCATTATTAGAATTGAATCCAAATTCCTTCTTGGCCTAGATCAGTTATTATTTTTCCAGGGTATTATGGAAGCCAGATTCAAAATAAATCAGAGCCCAAAACCAATTCCAAACAATGTTTTCCAATTTTTGAACACAAGAAAATAATAACAGTTAATTAACTCAGAAATGTTTAAATTGTGACACACCAAGAAGGAAAAGGATCAAAGAGAGTCTGGGAGCAACTTTTTTGACTAACAAATTTTATTAAAAGATACGTATAAGTTTCTGTGAACCATAGCTTATTTCAACAGATGCATAAAATGCCTAGACCAATATAGGATTTGTGAGGGGACATCAGGATAGTTATCTAGAAGCAGGTTATATTTGAGACAGATTTAAAACACCTTTTCAATTAACAAATGTAATGTGTTAAAAACCCTTGTATTTGTTGAGATCTTCAAAGATGATCTGATTTTTTTAAAATGTACATAATTTCATCAACTTCTCACTCCATTGTGTGGTTAAAAGGCCCATTCCCCCCCCAACAGTTACTTTGAGGTATTTTGGGCACTTAGTCAACCCTGCCAGCATTTGTAGTCTTTTGCAGCATCCAGTCACAGGACCATGATTTACAATATTTTTTTTGCCAGAAACTGGTGTTTACTTCTGGTTTCCAGCAAAAAATGTCCATTGCGGACAATGCATTCACTTAATGACTGTGGTGTTTGTTTTATGACTGCAGCAAAAAAAGATCATAAAATAGGGCACGGTCACCTGGTGACCTGTCTAATGATGAACACAACTTACAACTGTAATTCTGGACTCAATTATGGTCATAAGTTGAGGACTAACTGTAAAGACATAAGAAATTTACAGGTACCATAAACAGGATACATAATATTTATATTACAAACTTTATATTTTTGTAGCTTTATTCTATTTTATGAAATTATTATACATTATATATTTCATGTATATACCCAGGGCTTTTTTTGTCATAGAACACCCAGAACGGAGTTCCGGCACCTTTTTTGGATGGAACCTTGTAGGGTAGGCAAGGCGGGTTGTATGATGTGTGTGAATTCCGGCACCTTTTTTTTTTTTTTTTACAAAAAAAGCACTGTATATACCTATGTGTTTAGGTACATATATCAAGAGGAATAAGAACTTAAGACACAGAATGACAAGTTAATAGTAAAGTTATATGGATTACCTACGCAAAAGTGAAACACTTTTAACACTAAGATTTAACACTAAGATAAGGACATCCAACTCCCAACAATTCTGGATACTTTACATTCTAATAAGACTAGAACAGCAGCAAAAAAAACCAAGGAATGTGTGCCCAGTAAAGTAAAAAGATACAAATAGAACAAAAACATTTAAAAGAGCTCACCAGTCACCATTCTGCAAAGTTTGGGAAAATAGATATATCTTTAATGCCTTCTAGAATGTCATCTTGTTGAGACTCTTATGAATCTCTGGGGAATGCCAGAGGGCAGGCACAGCAATGTATTAGGCACATTCCCAAGATCCCACTAGATGGCATTTTTTAACTGAAAGGAGTGCATCTACCAGTATTCTGTCATATTTTATTTGACAGGAAAAAACTATAGGAGATAGCTGGTTCCTCAAATAATCAAGTGATTTTATAGATGGCAACCAGCACTTTAAAATGCACTCAGAAGCCATCAGGCAACCAGTTCAACTCCCAAAACAGAAGGGTTACATGGACATATAGTGACATCTCTTATTACTGCCTATGACAAACAAAATAAAACAAATATAGACTAAAAGTGGTCAGCAGACCAAACAATCTAGATTATAAAGTGTAGCAAGCTAAGAATTTGTTTGGTTATTGTGGAAGGACTTTGGGCCCCAATTGGTGAGAATTATTGGCACCAGATGTGGAATATTAGATGTGCAGTTGTTAATTTTTAATGGAATAATAGATTTCTTTATTATTTATTGGGTTATTGCTGTTGCTCTCTCTGCACTGTCTAGACTCTTTTTAAGATTGAGGAACATTTAACACACACCCCTCCAAATTATCCCTTAAGATAATTTTACAAACCAAACCACATCTGAGGAAAACCATAAAATACTGTCCCAAATCCAAGAATCATAGAATGGTTTTAGGCCCTTTTTAGGGGCCCCAGCAGGGTGAAATCGGGTGCGAAAGGCAGAGCCCTGCCTTCCTGCATCCCGTTTTGCCGTGATGCGAATTGGAAGTCATGGTGGATTCCTTCTTGTTGAAGATTATTAAACAGAAGCTGAATGGTTACCTGTCAACAATCCATGCAGCTTAACCCCATCCTGGTACAAAAAAACCCCCATTGTGGCGAAATATAAGAAATCAATCGTTTGTTTTAAGAGTGGAAAATGGACTTTGAATAACATCTAGTGGTGGGTTTGTGTATAGCACTATAATTTGCTTCCTGGCTGCTTGGTGATTCCTAGCTTCAGAGAACAGCTGGAAATATAGGAAAATATTTTGGCATACTTATCACCCTGATCTTCTTGGACTATAAATACCTACTGAGCTTGGACTTTTAACTTCAAGAGCAAGTGGGAGAGAAAGAAAAAATTGACCCTGGACTACACCTGGCTGGGAGAGATTTTTGAGCTATTTTCAGAGAGATTGAACATTCTGAACACTTCAACATTGTGGATTACAACCTTGCTTGATTGACAATTTTTTGGATACTTAAGACAAAGGATTACTATAAAATATTGCTTTCAGAACTGAACCTATACTTTGGAATCTATTGGATTATAAAGGATACATATAAAGATCAGAAAACTAGAGGAAACTTTGATCTACTCTTACTGAGTCTGGTGATACTAGAGGATCTCCAGGAATGATGCCTCAAGAAAAAACAAACACCTTTCAGAAAAAAATATATTCTATGCTACAACTAATTGTTGTAGCAAACAATTGTTGAATGCAAAAAGGACATAAAAAGAAATCATAATGAGACTAAAAACAATTTAGACAATATAAACGAGCAAATCTCCAAATTAAATCTACAACTAAAAAGTTCCCAGATAATGACTACAAAGTATGAACAAATAATCCAGAAATCAGAAGACAAAACAGAGAAAATGGATTTAGAAATGGAAGAGATAAAAGAAGGGAAATATAAATGACTATATACAAACAAAATACTGCAAGACTTAGCTATAACAAGGAAAATGCAAAAGACCTTTTACTCCTTAGGTCTGCAAAATATATCTGATGGCAAGGAAGATGATTTTAAAAAAGAGAATATAGAGCTGTTAAGGGAAATATCACAACTTGGGAGATAGGGAATGAAAAGAGAAATGGAGGGAGAAAGGAACTGGGAGTTGTTTAAGGGATATAAATGGGAGGAATTCCCCCGTCCCCCCAAAAAATGCCCTACCTAAATTGTCTTCCTCATGACAGGCAATTTTTACAAAAGCAGAAAGAAAATTCCTGGGCGATCTAATTGCCCTGGCTTGGAAAGCAACTTGGCAAAGAAAGAAAGAAAGCGAGAGTCAGATTTAAAAAACAGAAGATTTGACCTTTTAGAGGGGGCATTATGTTTAAAACTTGTTTGAATAAAAGAACGGATGACCTTTAGACTTTTATAATGAGAGATATGATTTAGAATTAAGATAGCATTTTTTCCTCTTTTTTTGATATGGGAAATATGAAGATAAGAGGAGGATTGATTTGAATAAAACTGCTAGCTATATAAATGTAATTAATATTGAGAAAATCATAACTGATAAAGATATTTCAAATACTAATGGGAACTCAAACCTTAACAAGAGCACGAAAAACAGGATATTGATTAATGAAGACATTATTGATTTATGAATTGATATTGTCATTTGTATGATATTAGTAAAATATGATGAAGATGCTTATATCTAACTTTGTATGCATTAACAGTACCAAAAATTGTAATGGTGTAATAACGGGAAAATGGAAAAAATATGGAGGAGGAGGATCAGGGGAAAAAATACTGGATTGTGTAGTATTGAACAGATTTATATTGAAGAAGTTAATGTTAAATATTTGAACCCAGACATGTTGTTTACTAAGCACTATAGACTGTAATTTTAAAAAATTAATAAAACTTTTATTTAAAAAAAAAGGAATCCACTACTGTTCCAAATAGTTCCATTGCTTAATAGCTATTTTCATCAAGAAATTCCTTTTAATATTCAGCATGAATATCCTTTCCTTTCCTTCTAATCCAACAGTTCTCATTCTGTTAACAGCTTCAAGAGAGAAGTGAACTATCTTCTCAACATAACCTCATCCACAAAATTTGGCCTCATACAATCAGCCAAATGATCAGTACATCAGCTCCACAACTTAATAGCCTCTTTGGAAAATTCCTGTTTGCTTGCTCTGACTCCCTGGTGCCAGACCTGTTAGTAAAAATAAACCAGTATGCTATGATGAACTAAGGCTGGGGAGACCCAAGTTCTAGTCTGCTGTCAATTCCCAGAGGAGCCAGCAAAATAACAATAATTGACATTGGACAAAATAGCCATGCCATGCTAATTAAAATAGAGGCACCACAACTCATTCAGAAGCTTGCCTTTCCCTGAGGAGTTGCAGCTGAAACCTGTTTGCTACTTTCATCAGCTCTGTCAGGAATACATCGTCTTCTCGCAGCTCCAGCTCATCTGTGTAAATCCAACGCAGCATTGCCATGGCCACCTCGGGATCAGCGTCTGGTGGAAGAGCATCAATTATTATATTCCTATGGGGAGAAACACTGTTTTGCTTTGCAAGAGAGTTGCTTTAACACCCATCAATAAGGAAACAATAGGTAAAATTCAGGCCTCTGATCAGCGCCAATCAGCACAAGTCTTCACTCAACCAACCCAAGGAGGAAACACTGGCATAGACACAGATCAGACTGTAACCGAGTATGGCATTTTTGGCTTTGGCAGCTCTATGATTCCAAGCAATTGTGGCTTACTGAGAAAACTGTGTTAAAAAAAGTTGTTGGCTTACTTAGCACAGGTGAACCCAACCAATGTCAACACAAATAGACTTATCAACAGGTGATTTGGAAAGATGAGAGATTTAAGAGGAAGATCAGCTAGGTCTCTATTATTGCAGATGATGAATCTCAAGAAGTGATCGAATTACAGATAGTCCTCAACTTACAACAGTTCATTTAGTGACTGTTTAAAGTTACAACAGTACTGAAAAATATGACTTATGACAGTTCTTCACACTTAATACCGTTGCACAACCCCCATGGTCACACGATCAAAATTCAGATGCTTGGCAACTGGTTCGTATTTATGACTGTTGCAGTGCCCTGGGGTTACACGATTCCCTTTTGCAACCTTCTGACAAGCAAATCAATGGGGAAGCCAGATTCGCTTAACAACCATGTTACTAACTTAACAAATACAATGATTCACTTAACAACTGTGGCAAGAAAAGTTGTAAAACGGGGCAAAACTCACTTAAATGTTTCACTTTGCAACATCAATTTTGGACTCAACTGTGGTCGTAACTCGAGGACTACCTGTATTCAAAGTTTTATGTAAAATATGATAATCAGTTCCATCCCGGAGGTACCCGATGCTCTGCTCCCTGACCCTCAAGATTTCCCTGGGCCTTGGCGTGCTCTGAAGCGGGCCACTCAACCATGCAAGGGAGCCTAAAGAAAAGAGCGGCAGACAGGGAAACCTTGGGAGGCCATCAGGGGGCTGGATGGGAAGTAGGCCTCAGCATACAGACTGTAACTACACTTCATTCTTTAAGCTACTTTACATGGCTGAGTGGGCAGCTTCGAAGCAGGCTGAGGCTTGTGGGACTCAGAGGGATAGGTGAGGGAGATGGGGGGAGCAATCCAGCGTCCCTGTAGCCGATCGTAAGGGTGAAAAATGGCAGGGGTACTGAAGTGGCCCTAACTCTGAAACTGGGTTGTAAATACATTTAGGGAAAGAGGTCTGTTGTAACTTTGAACAGTTGCTAAGCAACCAGTTGTAAGTCAAGGATTGTTTGTAATCTGTTATGTTGTGGGAATTTAGCCACAGAAAAAGGTTTATTGATAAATAAAAAGAAGGATGCTCTATTCTTATCAGGATGCAACTAAAAAAACCTAAACAATAATCTAATTCCATAGCCTGTTCAGCAATCTCTTTTACCGATGACACTATTATTTGATTAATCCTTTTATAGCTAAGGAAAAAAGTATAACCTTTGGCTACAATATTACACATATTGCTATGCAAAATTTAAAAATACATAATGATACATGATACATAATGATACATGATGACGACGATAACAATAACAAAACAAAACTAATAATAATAATAATAATAATAATAATAATAATAATAATAATAATAATAATAATAATAATAATAAGTAATAGTAATAATAATGTTGGAAGGGACCTTGGAGGTCATTTAGTCCAACTCCCTGCTCAGGCAGGAAACCCTATATACCATTTCAGACAAATGATTGTCCAGTATCTTCTTAAAAATTTCCAGTGTTGGAGCAGTCACAACTTCTGGAAGCAGGTTGTTCCATTAATTGTTCTGTCAGGAAATTTCTCCTTAGTTCTTTGATTAGTTTCCATCCATTGCTTCTTGTCCTGCCTTCAGGTGCTTTGGAGAATAGCTTGACTCCCTCTTCTTTGGGGCAGCCCCTGAGATATTGGAACACTAGTATCATGTCCCCCCTCATCCTTCTTTTCATTAAACTAGACATACCCAATTCCAACAACCGTTCTTTATATGTTTTAGCCTTCAGTCCCCTGATCATCTTTGTTGCTCTTCTCTGTACTCTTTTTAGAGTCTCAACATCTTTTTTTATACCATGGTGAACAAAACTGGATGCAGTATTCCAAGTGTGGCCTTACCAAGACATTGTAAAGTGGTATTAATACTTCAAGTGATCTTGATTCTATCTCTCTGTTAATGCAGCCTAACACTGTGTTGTTGGCTTTTTTGGCAGCTGCAGCACACTGCTGGATCATATTTAAGTGATTGTCCACTAGGACTCCGAGATCCCTCTCACAGTTACTACTATTGAGCAAGGTACTACCTATACTGTACCTGTGCATTTGGTTTATCCCCTCATCCAAATTATTGATGAAGATGTTGAAGAGCACTGGGCCCAGGACAGAGTCCTGGGCACCCAACCTCACACTTCCATGTATATGCAGTTCCAATGAGGACCATATGCTGAGTACGGCCGGTCAGCCAGCTACGAATCCATATGGTGGTGATGCCATCTAATCCACATTTTTCTATCTTATCAAGTAGCAGGTTGTGGTCTACTTTATCAAATGCCTTACTGAAGTCCAAGTAAATTATATCCACAGCATTCCTCTGGTCTAGTAATGTTTCACCTGATCAAAGAATGCAGTAAGTTTTGTCTGGCATGATCTGTTTTTGACAAACCCATGTTGGCTTTTGGTAATGACTTTGTTTGCCTCTAGGTGTTCGCTGGTTTGTTGCTTGATTATCTTTTCCAGAATCTTCCCAGGTATTGAGGTCAGGCTGATAGGTCTGTAGTTTCCTGGATCCATTTTTTTTCCTTTTTTGAAGATAGGAACTACATCAGCTCTTTTCCAGTCTTCTGGTAGTTCCCCGGTGCTCCAGGATCTTTGAAAGACATAGTTCAGTGGTTCTGAGATCACATCTGCCAGTTCCTTCAGAACCTTGGGGTGTAATCCATCTAGTCCTTGTGATTTGAATTCATTTAGGGTGGACAGGTGCTCACTTACCATTTTCTTGCCTATCTTAACTTGTGTTTCTAATCTGCCTTTCTCTTTTTACTTCCCATCCCTTTTTTATGTTGTATCATTTTTTTTCAAATTGTCAAGTTGAAGTGAAGTTTGCCCTCTTTTGATGGATTTATAAACAATCTTGGACCTTCTCAGACTGAAGAGTAGGGTATTAATAAATAAAAATGTTGTCAGGAGAGCTCTATTTTTAAAATATTGATTTGTTATTTTAAGGTATTCCCTGTGTCCAATGTTGTACAAATTCTCAGAGCCTACGGATCCTATTATAAGCATTAACAAAATGTGTGACAAAATTCTGATTTAACAGTGCTTTAGTTTAACATTTGTTAAAATTATGTGTACATCTACAAAGTAGTACGGCATGAATAGTATAGTACTGTCTTGTGAATTAACAAATGCCTTTTATTCCTTGCTTTTATGCTTCTTTGTCAGATTTTTAAGCTGCAAGATTTGTTAACTATGAGGTAAACATACCTCATAGTATATTTACTAAATATACATTTAGAAATACCCAAAATGAATATATAAACAGATTCTCATTACTTATGCCTCCACAGTTACTCTTTTAAGGCCAAGATATTAATGATGTAATGAATTGAAAGAGCTGTTGGCATTTACTTTTCAGGAGTGAAAAGCAGTGTATGATAACACTGTTTGCTGTGAATATTAGAAATTAACACGAGGTGAGGCCAGCCCATGAACCTCAGAAACTAATAATAGCAATACTATTAATGATATTTATAACTGTTGCAAGATGAATGCTGGCTGTGTGGCCATCTTCTAAAAAGCAAAGCAGGCCGGCTGATGTACTAATATTAGAAGGGGTCTTACAGCCAGGGGCACATGGGACAAGACAGCCATAAAAACATGCTATCTTTTTATGAGGTTTAATAAGGAATCTTTGTTCAAATACCCTAAAGGCATTACAATCCCTGATACTATTTGACTGGTCCCCTTCAACTATCTCTCCATTCATCCTATTTCAACACTAGAAAATAGGCTATAAGCAAGTGACATTGATGTGAAAATACTTCAAATTCCTATTTTCATGGGGATTAGACTAGCAAATTGGGGTAGCAGATCCTATCAGAAAAAAGGATAGGACCTAATTAAAATCCGCAGTTGGCTATATACATGGCCCCCTTTTGGACATCACTTGCTCTCAGCCCAATATATTTTGTGCATCTATTTAAAAAATGGCTGAGGAAAAATTATTAATTTTACCAGTAAATTGCTTCAAGGAAGGAAAACACATATTGGGTAGCAGCTCAGAATAGGTATTTATAACAGTGTTTAGTCTGATTAGAAAGGTTTAAAGGGATACAGTTAAATCACAAAATCACACAAAATTATGAAAGAGCCATAAACACTCAAGAGAGGCCGCTTAGGAGCAATTGCATCTAATGCGCTTATCATCTCTGAATTCCAGAGCTCGGTTAGGTATGTGGTAGAACTGCTTTCCAGCCTATCAGGAAGACAACAAAATGCCTGCTGGATATCAGTCAGATCCTAATTGCTGCCTTCATTTCAGAAGTCATAGGTACCAACAAGTTGGATGGTAATGAAGAAAAAAAAATAACTTTGAAAAAAGACAGATTATACTGTCCTCTATCTTCAAATTATTATCCATTTGATCTAACATAAACACCGTATCCATCAAATGGTTGCTTACAAGAGTCAAACGTGGATTTGGGTTCGCCTCAGCATCCTATATGAACCCAGCCACTGTGATCTGTAGATTGTAGCTTAGTATGTTGTGTGAACAAGTGTGGCTTATTATGAAGGGGGAACCCCACTGTCCTAGCCTACTCAGTTAACAATGGAGCTGAAAAGGAATTTGAACATAGGTCTGTACTAGACCAAATCACATGCATTAGAACTGTAACTCAATCAGCATAAAGTTTTTAGAATATCTGGGTTACACTAAAACAGCCCTCATTGCACCTCAACAGTGACTTTTCTTGAAAAAAATTACAAAATGCTGGAGGCAGGGAATCCAATAAAATCCTTTATCTATTTATTAAGGAGTACATCCTAGGGAAATCAACAAGACTAACTTTTGGATAAATCTATGCACAGCCTTTCTGTGCTTTAGAACAGCGGCCCCCAATCTTCTGGGCACCAGGGACTGGTTCCGTGGAGAGAGGTTCTTCCGCGGACTGGGGGAGTTCGCATGCTGCCTGCATCCCGTGGATGGGGTTTTGCTTGTTTGTGTGGCCCAGTTTCTGGCATGCCGGGGCCCAGTGCTGGTCCACGAACTGGGGGTTGGGGAACCCCTGCTTTAGAAGATGTATTCGAATTTAGAATCCAATTTGGCATCTGTGAACATTTCACAACACAACAATTTAATATTATACTCTTTTTTATACAATTATGGAGGATCAGAGTAGTGAAAATTTCAAATTACCTTTACATAGGCTTTAATAATTTTATGACACACAAATTATGTACCACTATTACTAATTTTAGCAGATGTTAATGGTTGTGCTATTTTGGGGAATGTAAATTATATACCACTGTTACTAATTTAAGCAGAGAGAACAGAATAGAGCTGGAAAGGACCATGGAGGTCTTCTAGTCCAGCCTCCTGCTCAAGCAGGAGAACCTATACCATTTCAGACAAGTGACTGTCTAGTCTCTTCTTAAAAACCTCCAGTGATGGGAGCAACCATGATTTCTGAAGGCAAGCTGTTCCACTAGTTAATTGTCCTCACTCTTAGGAAGTTTCTCCTTAATTCCAGGTTGCTTCTCTCTTTGATCAGTTTCCAACCATTGTTTCTTGTCCTGCCCTCTGGTGCTTTAGAGAATAATTTGATCCCCTCTTCTTTGTGGCAGCCCCTCAAATACTGGAATACTGCTAATATGTCACCCCTATTTCTTCTTTTCTTTAGATTAGCCAAACACAATTCCTGCAGCCGTTCTTCATATGTTTTAGTCTCCAGGCCTTTGATCATCTTAGTTGCTCTTCTCTGATTTTTTTCCAAACTCAACATCTTTTTTGTGATATGGTGACCAAAATTGGCTGCAGTATTACAGGTGTGGTCTTACTAGGGTTTTATAAAACAGTACTAATACTTTGCATGATCTTGATTCTATGCCTCTGTTTATACAACCCAGGACTGTATTAGCTTTTTTGGCTGCTACTGCACACTGCTAGCTCATAGTCAAGTGATCATCCACTAGGACTCGAAGGTCCCTCTCACAGTTACTGTTTTTGAGCCAGGTCTTGCCTTATCTGTATTTATACTTTTGATTTTTCCTGCCTAAATGTAAAACTTTACTTTTCTCCACATTAAAGTTCATTTTGTTGGATAGGGCCCATTGTTCAAGTTTGTCAAGATCTTTTTGGATCTTGAGCTTGTCTTCTGGGGTGTTGGCTATTCCTGCCAGTTTAGTGTCATCTGCGAATTTGATGAGTTCCCCTTCTACTGTATTCCCTCATCTAAGTCATTGATGAAGATATTGAAGAGTACTGGGCCTAAGACAGAGCCTTGTGGTACCGCACTGCTTACTTCTCTCCATGTGGATATAGTGCCATTGAGGACTACTCGTTGAATAGTTTGTCAGCCAGCTATAAATCCATCTGATGGTGATGTTGTCTATTCCACCTATTTCTAGCTTATCAAGAAGTAGGTTGGGGTCTACTTTGTGAAATGCCTTACTGAAATCTAAGTATACTATGTCAACGGCATTTCATTGGTCTATTAATTTAGTCACTTTATCAAAGATATTGAAAAGTATTGGGCCTAAGATGGAGCCTTGTGGTACCCCACTGCTTACTTTTCTCCATGTGGATGTAGTGCTACTGAGGACTACTCGCTGAGTACGGTTTGTCCGCCAGCTACAAATCCATTTGGTGATGATGTCTATTCCACCTATTTCTTGCTTACCAAAAAGTAGGATGGGGTCTACTTTGTGAAATGCCTTACTGAAATCTAAGTATATTATGTCAATGGCATTTCGCTGGTCTATTAATTTAGTCACTTTATCCAAGAATGAAATAAGATTGGTTTGGCATGATTTGTTTTTAACAAAGCCGTGCTGACTACTAGTTATAACGTTGTTTGCTTCTAGATGTTAATGGTTGTGCTATTTTGGGGAATGTACATGTAAATCTATAAAACTGCCTACCTAAATCTACCAATAATTTAGGGTAATTTCAATCTGATTGGTAGTGTATTCATTCTTTATGAGATTAGTGCTGTGGAACCTAATGCATTTTAAGATACAGAAATTTACATTTCTAAGGGGAAAAAAGAAATGGAAAAAAAGTCTTCTGGAAAGTTTCTCATTATAGATCAGTTATTTTCAAGCAACAAAATTCTTTTTAACACAGAGTGTTAAAGATTGAAACAGGTAGTCCTCAATGTACAACCATAATTGTTAAATGACGTTTGTCTCATTTTATGACCTATTTGCTACAGCTAAGCAAATCTCTGCAGTTGTTAAATGAATCATGCAATCATTAAGCAAATCCAGCTTTCCTCATTGACTTCGCTTATTGGAAACTGGCTGGGAAGGTTACAAAAGGTGATCACATGTTCCCATGACAGTGCAGTTTCCATAAATACATGCCAGTTGCCAAGGGCACAAATTCTGATCATGTGACCATGGGGATGCTGTAACAGTCATAAGTATGAAAATCAGTCATAAATCACTTTTTTTCAATGTCATGGTAACTTTAAATGGTCACTAAATAAAAGGTTGTAAGTCTAGGACTACCTGTACATTAATGTCAGCCTCACGAGATAAACCAGATAGAACTGGTTTAGCTAAGATGAGCTAATTTTACTTTATATTAAATTACATTCACAAAATCCTACAAGTCTGAAAGTACAATTATCTCCCCTTTTCCTATACAGCCTGAGAAACTAGGGAGTGTCTCTTCTGAGCCTCCTGCCCCAACCACTATCCAGCTGAAGGGTACGCTGCCTCTTATTTGACCATTCCCTTGGTAGCGTCTCTTTGCCCAGTCTCCCAAGATCTTTTCCACATTATAATAAATGAATATTTTTATTTATTTATGTATTTATTTTTGCTTGTTTTACGCTGCTTCTAATGCACTCATTTCAAGTGGTATATACAAATCATTAGATATAGAAATAAAATAACAATACACTAAAATTAATAAACATAAAAGCACAGAATTAAAAAGGTAGGGAGAAAAAAACAGTCTGAAACATTTATGCCCTGAATGGAGAGAGATAGCATAATTCAATATGTTGGCTAGGAAAATATGAAACTACTATCCGGTTTGAAGGCTGACATATCCTAAGGTGTTTTAAAATTACTTATTTTATAGCATAGATCCCAGCAGTTCTATTTATCTCATTTAAATATCAGTTCAGAACATTTCTCTTGAACAGTAGCCTCATCCCAGAATCTAGCTTTTAGGGAAGAGTCATGAATTTTTGACAAGCTTCTCAATCAGGGAGGAAAAAAACAAAATGAAACAGAGAAGTGGCCAAGTACCTAAGTTGGTTTCCAAAGAGAAAAATGCTGGAGTTGCAATAGTTGCCTTACAGAATAGACATTGATGCTTTCAGAAAGCAATTGTGAAGACCAACAGAATAATCAATCATCTTCAACAACTTGATTTCTTTGCTGCTTCAGAGACTGTTTAATAAGATGAAACAGACAACCATACCTAACACCCATGTCATTAAAATTAAAGAGGTGTAAGCTTCCAATTTAACTGGCACTAAACACTTAGCATGTTTGAAAGACAAATGCTTCATAATTAGAAGATTGAGTACCATTTTTGCAAGCTGAGCATCTCCTCTTGAAGGATAAAAATGTAACCTCTTTTCCCAAAGGCATTTTATGTTTTTATTAATCTTCCCAAGGCAGTGAATACTTCTCCAGTCTCTCACTCACACACAGAACTAACCTGACAGATCTAGCTCATTTGTTGACACTAAGTTGGCCAGACTCCAAGCCTCACTCCGGGCTGCCAATACAAATTTGTGAGCGCTGATGTACCTGTCTCCCACCTTGATCTTCAGGTCACTGAAGAAACAGAACAAACATAACTTTGGATTAGATGAGCTGGTATTCTGCTAACTGCAACATCAATTTGGAAGAAATCAGATGAGTCACAGTGGGGACATAGTAAAATATGGATGATTTTCATGTACTTTGACCTAGTTTTCAGGTCTTTATAATGCTTGAGAACCCTAAAGCAACCTCTTCTTTCAGACTGACAAGAAAATGTAGAAAAGAAAAAAGAAAAAGAAAAAGGGATGGTAACTAAGGTAATACTTCTCATTGCTTATTATTTGTAAGCACAAAACTAAGGGCTAAGCCACCCCCACATAAGAGAAACATTGGGAAGTCAAGTAAAATCCCCTTCTCTATTGAGAAAAAAAATATTTTTAAAGGGCTGCATCTTCAGTTAATTCTGGCTATTTTTATTTGTTTGCAAATCTTAAAATAACAAGATGCTAGCAATGAGAGTAACTGTAAATCATCACATCTTTTAAAACAAAGATAGTCTTGATTCACACACACACAGAGTTCTGTAAGCACCTCTCACGTATGCCGTCAAATTTCAGCAGCAAGCCTTAAGCCAGTGATGGCGAACCTTTTAGAGACCAAGTGCCCAAACTGCAACCCAAAACCCACTTATGCATCATCGGGTGCCGGGTGGGTGTGGCCCATTGGGTGGGTGTGGCCCATTGGGTGGGGTGGCTGCGGTGGTAACAGCAGACTGGGTGGGACTAAAAAGTTCAATCAATTCCAACTTTGCAAGATCTTTTTTTTTCCCACGAGAAGTTGAAATTGACTGATTGAACCTTTTTTTTTTGTACACGGTGGTGGAGGCCTAAAGCGAAAAGGTTTTATAAAACCCAGCTGAAGGCCTAGGACTGGGGCGATGGCGGGCGTGCCCACAGAGAGGGCTCTGAGTGCCGCCTCTGGCACCCGTGCCATAGGTTCGCCATCACTGCCTTAAGCTTTCAATATTTCTACATTTCTGGCCAAAAGTGACAGCTCTAAAACTGGTAAGCATTTTCAATAACTTTACTACCTTAACAATAGCACTTAGACTTATATACCGCTTCATTAGTGCTTTACAGCCCTCTCTAAGCAGTTGACAGTGTCAGCATATTGCCTCCAGCAATCTGGATCCTCATTTTACTGGAAAGGATGGAAGGCTAAACTGGTCAGGATCAAACTCCTGGCAGTGGGCAGTGTTAGTCTGCAATACTGCATACTAACCACTGAACCATCACAGCTCCTTACCATCCACTGTTCATCTGAATCTCTGCAATACAGATATAGTAGCCCTACCAAATTTTCCCCTCCAGTAGCTAAAAATTCTGGCACATTCTTGGATTATCATCATATTGTTAATCATGCTCTAATGCTCATGTGGGGAAACATGTTTTTTTAATTACCAGCCTCTGTGTTTTATTTATTACAAATAGTCCTCACAACTGCCTCATTTAGTGATCATTCCAACTTACAATGATGGAAAAAAACATTGTGACCAATCTTGCATTTACGATTGTTGCAGCATCCTATAGTCCTATGACAGCCTTTTGGACACTTTGCAACTGGCTTGCAGAGTTAACAGAGAAGGTGGAAGTAATATCGTAAGTTGTGGTCACGTGATGTTTTGCTTAGCGACTGTGGCACTTAGTGTCTGAGTTCTCTGTTCCAATTGTGATCACTAAGTGAAGAATATATATGTATTTCATTTTATTAATATGTCCACCCATTCCACAGCAGTGACTAATCCAGCTTAAAAACACCAATGTAAAAACATATAATAGCAATAACAAAAAACAATAATAAACAGCATAAAATGGCAGACAGACCATCCAATGATAAGTCAACCATAAATTAACAAATCTCATGGAATTACCTAACCCAGCAGTACCCATGCTTAGGTTAAACAACCAGATCTTAAAGAGTTTTCTGAAAACCAATGGGATTGGGTGATACGGTGTTTCAAAAGGCAGGCACTGCAACAGAAAATGTCTACATTCTAGGCCCTGCTAGATGCCATTCTTAAACAACAAGACCTAGAGTATGCTTTTCCTCTCACTCCCATTGGAGAAGATAGTTGTAATTGGAGAGAGGCTGTCAGTCAAATATCTTGTCTTAAGCCCACATTGGTGCTTTAACATTCCAAAAAAATAGCTCATAATTAAAGATGGGAAGAAAGAAGGTATTGAAAAGAAGGATGTGACAGCAATTTATAAAGAAATTTATCATTTAACATGAAGAGAAGTGAGGGTGACAACAGTTAATTGTCTAGTTAGCACACCATTTAAAACTAAAATCAATGAAAAAGATCTCCCGTTTTGGACAGATATTTTATATGACATAAAAACGCTGAAAACTTACACAACAAAAACACACCAATATGAAATGGAACTTCTAGTTTTGAAGAGCAAAAATGACCTGCACACCAAAAGGTTAAGTCACTCACAACAAATATTTAATTCAAAATATTTTAACTAGTAAAACAAAGTACATCTGCCTGGCTCAGCATTAAGACAATAGCCATATATGCTGCATTCATGTATTAAGTTTGCAATTGTAATTTAAGAACATTTACTGCCGCAGAGCTATGGCCCTCAGACTAATTTCATAAAACTCAATTTTCTTCAAAATGTATATATATGTCTCATGGAAGAGGTGTGTTCAGAGCTATCTGTCATTACCCTGCAGTTTCTTGGGGGAAAAAGAGAAGCTGTTCCAGGAAAATTAGAAAGTGTTACACCCACTGTTTAGCTTAGTTTAACCCATGAAATGTTTCTAACAGACTGAAAATACTTCCTGTCCAGCCATTATTTTTACACGACCCGCTAGTTATGAAACAGAATTACAGCAAGCTGGCCTTGCCATTAATCCTCGATTCTGCTCATTCTCACATGTGGAATTCATTTTCAAAAATGCATCCCTCAAGCAAATACACCAAAATCATGCTCAGAACAGCTTGCTAAAGGATAAGTCTCAGTCTTTTGACAATATAGCTTGAATTTCATTCCACATCTTGAAACTAGATCTAATGCACAAAAGCAACCTAGTTCTTGTGTATTTGTATCTAATTTATAAATTCTATTCAGATAATACATTTTCATGCAGATCCTCTTTCAAGTTGTATTTATTAGTAGGTCTCTGTGTATTTAATCTAGTTCCTCTATGGTCTTCTAAAGGAAGAGTACACTCATAAATAGGGAGGAAAAATGATTATTCATTATTTTTCCCTAACCACACCCAGTAAAAAGAAAAAGACAGCTAGAAGACCATAGTTGGGAATTATGTTAATTAAAAGCTAAAACTAAGAAACTCTGGAGATTTAAATGTCAATGAGGACTAGAGATGGTCAGTACTGTAAAGTTTAAAAATTAGTCCATGGAGCCTAATCATATGAATTTGATCATTGATTAACATTCAGAATCAATCAACAAAACTTCTAATCAACCGATAAATCATAATGCACAATGGCTGTGTTTGTATATAATTAAATACCTGGCAGATAAATTCACAAAAAATCCTAAGCTTAGTTAGTGATCATCCTAACTAAAGGGATGAAGTTTTGTTTATTTGGTTATAGTTTAATGAGTGAACATGAAAAATGGGGTAATTTCATAAAAAGATTAACCATGTGATATGAATGCAGCCAACGTGCTTATGAGATTCAGAGGGATATACCCAAAAGCAAAGACCTTCAAATGAGATTATAGATAGTCCTCAACTTGCAACCACAATTGGGACCAGAATTTCTGTTACTAAGCAAGGCAGTTGTTAAGTGAGTTATGCCTAATTTTATGACCTTTTTATCATGGCAGTTAAGTGAATCATTGCAGTTGTTATATGAATCATGTGATTGTTAAGCAAATCCAGCTTTCTCCATTGACTTTGATTATTGGAAGTTAGCTGGGAAGGTCAAAAATGGTGATCACAGGACCCTGGGATGCTGCAACTACCCTAAACACATGCCAGTTGTCAAATACTGATTTGATTATGGGGCTGCTGCAATGATCACAAGTGTGAGGACTGGTTGTGTGTAACTCACTTTTTTGAGTGCCACTGTAACTTCAAAGAGTTGCTAAATGAATGGTTGTTAAGAAAACTACCTGTAGCTTATTACAATCACAATTACAATATTGCTTCACCTACTGAGAAACAAATGGCTCTTAGTATGTTACAATATACAGACAAGTGAATAAGATACAAAATTTGAACCTTGGATATGCTGCAGCAGGCTTTCTGAATAGAAATAGAAATAAGAATGAGGGATAGGAATTAGGGATAGGATAGAACAGAATAGAATTCTTTATTGGCCAAATGTGATTGGACACATAAGGAATTTGTCTCCGGTGCATAAGCTCTGAAGACAAATTCCTTGTGCATAAGCTAATTTAAAAGCTTCGCTATTGCCTGCAATAAAAGCATCTTATCAGAACTGCACCTTGATTCTTTGGTTGCAAGACTTTTAATTTGAGTACTGGTTGTAGCAAACCCTGATTGTGCTATTAGTAATAATGTTATACCACATTATGGCAAGGGTGTCAAACTGCCAGCCCGCGGGTCAGATGCGTCATGTCGAAACCGCACCCACCCCATTGCCGGCAATGGAGAAAAAGTCGCGATACATCGTGACACGTCATGATCTTTCTACCATTTTTAGGAAATCTCTTACCTATATTGCTCCTGCTCATACAATTCTGCCACAATGGTAAGCAGTCGACTGATGAAAGAGTCACTGGCATTCTCTTTGTTTGACTGAGCAGCTAGGAGGGTACATTTTCTCTCTGTTTCTGTCAGTTTTTTCTGCAGTTTGACATATTCCTGACGGAGAAGCATCAAGTGTTTTTCCAGTTTTGCCACTTCTTCTGCAAAAATAAGCAAACAAAAACAACAAAAAACATAATTAAATGGTACAACACATGACTTGCTTGAACAAGATCCCAGTTTAATAGGATCTATGAGGACCATTGAAAGGTAGACAGTACTAGCAAGGTACATGCAAACTAAGATAGTCATGATTATCCTTGGGAAAAAACAATCAACATGCATTGCCTGGCTCTGCCATTTTTAGGACTGACCCAAATGATTCCAAAGATCATGAAAGTCCAACAATCCTTTGACATTCAGATGACATGGTATGAAAAGAGGAAGAAATGTTTCCACCTTAAACCAAATGTTTCAACTATGAAGTCTCTGGTCTGTACAGATTGCAGTCTGTGAGAGTGACTCTGAATATCAGGTTATATTATCATTGTTGATCATATACTCAGCCAGATGTTTAGATTGGATTAAGTCCTTTCCAAGGGCCTAGGATAGGCAGATGTTGTGTTTAATAATATTAAAGATGTCATTGCAGGATGTAAGCTGTTCCAAGTAAAACTGCCTTTTGCAATTAACTAAGGATGATTTTATCAATTCCGACATTGCTCAAGTGATACTTCAGATGTTCCAGAATTGTATCCCTTTAACAATAATTATTGTTACTTCTCAGCTTTCTACATATAACTCATGACAGCAAAAAATCCCAATACTCCTGCCTGTGAATTGGGTTGGGCTGACAGAAAGTAACTGGCCCAAAGTCACCCAGTCAGCTTTCATGCCAAAAGGAGACCTAAAACCCACAATCTCCTGGTTTCTAAACCAGCACTGTTACGATATTAAATTTAGAACAGTAAATTGTACAGTGGGCCAGAGCACACAGTTGTAGTTGATAAGTTAGAGAGTGCTGGCTCATGCATGAGGCAATCTACACCATGATTGGTTGCTATGGGTGTAAAGGGGGAGTTTCCCTTTTTCCCGCCTTTTTCTTCTGTGTGCTCTGTGTACTGTTTGCCTTAACTCATGATGTTCCTGTGTTCCTGACTATCTTGTCTGCTATAAATATAAATGTAAAATATGTTTATTTATATAAAATTACTAGTTTGTATCAGTGTCTTTGACTTCATTTGGACAGCTGCTGTGCAACTTCTTGACAAGCACCTTAGCCACTAGACCAAACTGGCCTCTTATTATACCTACAATATACCAATATACCAAGCATTAGTGATAGAAATGGCTGATTCTTATTCTCAGCTAATTCTGAAAACATAAAGGCTATTAGGTCTACACCATCAGCAAAATGCATGAACTAAACAGATGAATCATATAGCTTATTGCAAAGTAGGACCATCAAATGCCTAAACAGAAAAAAATAAGTGAAGTCTATAGGTCCGTTCCTATGAATGTAAGGCTATCAATTTGCAACAGTTCATTGTAATTCTATCATCCCTACTTTGAATACAATGGGATTTTCCTCTCAATAAGCATCCAAAGGATTACACTGTTAACATATTTCATAATATAATCTCCCCTTTTTTTCCTAACTTGTATCAAATCTTCAAATTGTCAATCCTCAAAATTAAGAATTTTGAAACCAAGATATCAAGTAAGGATAATTCAAGATAATTCCTATCTGACATTCAGGAAACTTACTTCCTGTCAGATCAATGACAACATTTAAATTAAGGATGTTCCATATGTACTATATTGGTAGAAGACTCCAAGGCAGAACATTGCTGGTTAAAGAAGTAATAACCAGGACTGAATTTCTACTGCAATTTCTCCCAATCTGGGGCTATCTGAATATGTTAACAGTACAATTTCTACAATTCCAATGTAGCAAATTTTACACGTACTTCCAGTACTTTAAAAAAATATATCCCTAATAAAACAATTATCTTCCCTGTGAGAAAAGACTACATCATTTAGAGTTTTTATGTTACAAACTACAGCATGCCATTAAAATGAAGATACGAGCAGAATTATATTTTTCCCACTCTCATGTTCAAATTCAGGATCACTGAAATTATGTGTTGGGATTCTAGACCAGGGCTTTTCAACCTTTTCACCCATTGTACCACTTTTAGGATATGGCAACATCCGAGTACCACCAGTCGCCTAGCAAGGTATCAAAAACTTGATGACCCCCCCCCAAAAAGGAAAAAAATGATAAAGTACAGGTAGTCCTCGACTTACAACAGTTCGCTTAGTGACTGTTTGAAGTTACAATGGCACTGAAAAAAAGTGCCCCCCAAGGCACAGCCGAGCAAGACACCTGCCTGCCCGCCCGGCAGTGCTCTTCCTCCTGTCCGAGGTTTTCATTGTGAGCATTTCTGTTGAGGATTGGCAGCGGGGGTGGGGTAGGGGGGTGTTTGGTTTTTATTCTCCTCCCCCCATCTGCTGGGTGGTTGCAGCAGGTTTTGGTCACTTCACATGACCCTGGGACACTGTGACCGTCATAAATATGAATCAGTTGCCAAGCATCTGAATGTAAATCACAAGACCCTGGAGATGCTGCAACATTCCAGCTGATCGGTGCTTCTTCTGGGCTCAGCAGAAGAGCCAGGATCAGCACTGAGTTCCAGCTGGAGCCTGGCGCTGATCCTGGTGCTTCCGCTGAGCCCTGACAGCCCTGCAGCTCCAGCCATCTCTCGGTCAGGCTTGTGCGGTGCTGCCACTGGTTCAGCTCATTCCCCTCCCCCACTACTACTTTTCTAGGATGGTCGCGTACCACCTGCCAGGTGCCAATGTACCACAGGTGGTACCCGTACCACTGGTTGAAAAGCCCTGTTCTAGACCAATAAAGGGATTTTTTTCCTTCATAATATAAAAAAAACCCAACCTTGTGCTATACAAAATTGGTCTGCAATTTAGAAAGTTGTAAAAGGGGACTAAGGCAAATTCATGCAAGGTTCAGTTTAGCAACAATAATCTGAATGGGTATCTACTACCTCTTAAACTGCGTATCTTAAATACTAGTCTCTGTGAAGTGACAGAGAAGGGCAGCTATCTTTCTCACATCCGTGTCTGTGAATTTTCAGAATGAATCCAGTTTTGACACTGAATGTTGGACTCAATGGGTCTTTGGCCTGATTCTGTAATGCTCTTACTTGCAGAAAAGCTGGGAAAAATACGTACTTGCTACCTTTCAGAATGCCTCCCCAAAAATATCAAGCTTAAGAATCATTCCAAAAGAGGAAGCCTGCTGCATCTGGATGCATTGGCCCAATAATATAGATGATGGGAGAGTTCTGCATACAATTTCAGCCAACTGTTCAGCATACCAACCATGTGTGAGGGCAGTTTAGTCAGGGTGCTCAGTTACTGAATCAATTTGCAGTATCTTATGATGGTAAAGAGACATCACTCTACCCTTTAGCAATTTTCTTATAAAACCCAACAACAATAACCATTTCTTTTCCATCAAGCCCCTAGCCACAGCAAGATTTTCTTTTTTAAAAAAATCACAGATATATTAACTGCATTTTGATGCAATGCACCAAAAATTAGGAAAACACAGAGACAGATAATTTCCTCTATGATTTTTACATCAGTAATATAAAAACTATCAATATATATAAAATCCTTTTACATAAGCAAAGAAAAATTGCATCACCACATTAATGTAAGTTTCTAAATTCTAGTATTAGAAAATATACATTGTATAAAAACAGCTCCAAAACTTCTCTGGGCCAATTCTTTCATTTTAAAATGTTATTTCTGAGTTACTCAGTAAGGTAAAGATCAAGGTCAATCAGTACAATGAAGATGATGTGCAATACACTAACTTGTTTGTGCAATACACTAACTTGTTGCAAAGATTAGTGGGAGTTGCTTCATAGTAGCAGCTTGTTTCCAATGTGTTCAGGAATCTGAATGAAATATGTGTTCTAGCATTGTTACCCACTTTTGAGATTAAATTTGGAGTAAGAAAGTGGGGGGAGGTTGCAATAGACCTTTGATAAAAAGAGCCAGCTCCAAGGAGACAACCCTACAATAAAACTTAATAAGAATTTCATACTTAGTGGATTCTATGTTCAACATTAGTTGTTAAATAAAGTTATTTAGCAATAACTGGAATACCAGCTTAAGTTGTAACCAAACCATAGCCAAACATACCAATTTCAATGGGTTACTATTATACTAAGTCACAATGTGAATTAGTCTTAGTCCTGTGTTTTGGTTAAATCCTTTACTGCAGTTTATATAAGGGGTCGCAATATTTAAAGGAGATTGCTATAAGATATTGCAAAACAAAGCTTAATATTGACATATTCAATAAACCACAGGTTCAGTGTGTCATTTGAAGCCAGTCAATAGTAGATTTTTCCTTTCCTGGCTTTGCTTCTATGAAATATCGAAATCGTAAGCAGAATTTATGAGAGCAAAAAACAAAAGTTTGAAAACTAACCTAGTCCTAACATCCTTACCTTAAAAATGGTAAGCCGCCCAGAGTCACCTTGTAGGGGAGATGGATGGCATAAATATGTAATAAATAAAAATAAATAACAGGAGGTAAGTCAGTGTGATCCAGTGGTTCTCAACCTGTGGTCCATGGACCCCTGGGGGGGGTCACAATGTTGTCATGGGAGTTCTGTGAAGGCTTGAAGAAATGTTATGATTTAAATCTTACACCTTGGGGATCCGGAGCTATGGTTTGTGGCCAAAAAAGGCATTCCAAGGGGGTGAAGAAAAGATTAAGTGGGTTAAGGCACCAGGCTAGAAGCCAGGAGAAGACAACTTCTAGTCCTGTCTTAGGCATCAAAGCTGGCTGGATGACTTTGGGCCACTTACTCTCTCTCAGCCCATCTCATCTCACAGGGTTGTTGCTGTAGAGAAAATAGGAGGAGAAAGAAATATTGTTTGCTGCCTTTGAGTTATTTATAAAAATAATAAAGGCAAAAAACAAATGGTAAAAAAAGCATTATTTTAGTAAGCTTTCTTCCTTAGTGGTCTCTGAATGGCATATATGTTCAACAGTAATTTATGAGTAAGAAGAGGCCAAAGAAGTCATTGAGTACAGCTCCATGCTCAGTTTAAAACGTCC